TTTAATCAAAGACGAAGAAAGAAGAAATTTTCAAGATTGAACGGAAACAAGAACAAACCCAGAAACTTACCATTGTTCACTGTAGATCTAAAAGAAGAGAATTTTCAATCGGATTAAACGAATGATAATTTCTTCAATTTTATCGATTCTTCTCTCTATCGAATTGGGGACGCGTATGGGTTTAGGGTTCTTCAATTCTCGATTCTCTCTATTTTGCCTCTTTATTTTAGATTTTTTTGTTTTTTTGCGTGGGCAAGAGGTCGGTTATGTGATTGTTTTCCAATTTTCTTATAAGGTCGGTTTAAGAAGTCGGTTAGGTGAGTCAAAGTCTTCGGTTTTCTTTAATTTCTTGTTGCCAAGTACTAATTCAGAAAATTTTATAGAGAAAATTCAGACAAACAAAAAATTCTTAAAAAGGAAATTCAGATGAGAGTAAAAAAAAAGATTAGGAATTTTGGATTCGAGTATTTACGACTAACACTATATACAGTAGTACAAACAGGGGTTTTCCAATATAGATAAATCTCTTAAATATTCAAAGAAACAAACGCAAAAAAACATGAATTTAAAAGGCAAACACTCATCGTCGAATAATAGAATTTTATTATAGTAAAGAAATAAATGACAAAGCGCTTACACTGCACAAATGAATTACGAACTCAAAGGAACACATAAACATACAACAATCTCGGACACATCCGTAAAGTGGGAAAAAAAAAAATATATTAAAAAGATAATAAATACCTCAGCTGCCTCCTCCGTTGGTGACGGCGACGCCACCGCCATTCTCCACCTTAGGCGGAGCTGAGAACCGTCGCGATTTAGGCAATGCAGGTGAAGTCGGATACGAGAGCCGTTTCTTAGCTGATGCTTTGTCCACAAAGCCATCGTTTTCCTGCGTGGTACCGCCTAATGGACTCTGCGGCTTGAGCCTGGCTCGAGCTGATTTAGTTGGAACCATGTAGCTTGGGAGAGCAGGTGAGCCAGCGAGGCTCTCGTCATCTCTGACTGAACCGGCGATGCTGTGTCTACGGTTCCTTTCGGACAGAACCGAGATTGTGCTTTTGGCGTCGTCTTCGTTGTTGGATTTTCTGGTGGATTGGTTTAGCCTTGAGGGTGTTGGAGGAGAGAAGAAACTGTTTTTGTTTCTTGGGGTGCCTCTTGCCGATGATGGTGTGTTTGGTTGAGTTGAGTTGTTGCGTGTTACAGATTTTACGGCTTCATTACGGTTAATAGAGCTCTTGAGTGAGGCGGCATTGTCAATGTTGTTGTTTTGTTCTTTCTCGGAACTCTCTAATGGCCGACCAGCCATCCATCTCTCTAACCAGCTCCAACCCCAAGTCGGGTTGCTTGGATCCATGAACATCGGGTTTGCAGATTTCGAGTTGTTCTTCCAGTTTTGCTACAAATCAATATACAGGTTCAACTTTAATGGATGTGTTCACTACTTTAATTGTATCTTTCCGTAGTTTCAAATAGATTGTACTTAAGACGTTAAAACCTTGTGAATAGTGAGAATATATACCTGATGAGAGTATGCATAGGCCAATGCTCTTTCCCTTCTCATCGTTGCCTCGTACTTACTCAGTAAATTTGCTTCAACCTTTTCCTTTGATTGAATACTATCATTCCAGTTATCCCCATTCTGAGAGCAGCAACAGAAAAAAAGGATAAAACTCTTAGCATACGCAAAACGACACTTTCCATTTTCAGAGAAGAGAAGAGACAATTAAGTAAGCAGATAGTCTGACTTAGATAAAGACTAACTATTAACCGTTCCTACACCAAAGACTAACCAAATGGTAGGCAGAAGTCAACCAAATCATAGAGTAAAGGAAGAAACTTTTGAGTAAACAGTAGAAAACTGGATGTAAGAGAGAGAGAGATACCTTCAAGCCAGCTAGCTCTTTGGCATGCTTCTGAAGGAGTTGCTTCTGGCGAGCTTGATTCTCTTCCGACATCCTGATTCTCCTAGCTCGGATCTGTGACTGTACACGAGAGAGAGTCTGCATACATTTTAGAGTATTTGCAGCTTGCCGTTTGACAACAGATCCTTCCATCAATAACTTAAGTCTAACCAAACCCCTCATTGCCCTCAGTGCTCTTCTTGCCTGTATTTTCAGATATTACACAAGACAAGGTTATACTCCACTTTTTCCTCCCTTTGATAAAAACTCAAGCAGTGCAACAGCAAAACCAAACAATTCCAGGGAACCCAAATGCGTATTTTTTCATAATTACAATCAGCGAGAACAGAACAAGTATATCGGGAAGTTAGGTAATGATAAGCAAATCAAGTATATGAAATTATGAGGGAGTAAGTTTCTGCAGAAAATTAAGCCAATTCAAGAATGAGATTATATAGCCAAAAACATACCAAATAGCCTCTAAAGATAGTCTGAATCAAGATTGCAGCTGCTTCTTCGTTTGACTTTCCGGCAAATCGAGTAGGTGTAGCACGACGAACGACCTCAGGAGCAGATGAAGTCGGAGCTACAGGAATATCGGTAGCAGTAGCATTCACAATATCTGTTGAAGGAGGGGAAACATTCCTGTTCCTCTCAACAATCACTTCAGCTACTCTCACCTCACGT